CAGCCTGACAGGCAATTCTTCACAACCCTAAACCCTGAACCCTAAATCCCTTGTATTGAGCCCTTATAACCCTGCGCCAGAGCACTTCGGTGGATTGGCACGCGCGGCTGTGCGACACTCCGGAAGAGGCCATGATCGGGGGGTGGTGTTTGGGCTTTAAGGTTTAGGGTTTAGGGTTGCAGGTTTAGGGGGTTTGGTTTAACGGAAAGGAAAATGGAAACTACCATAGTATATCGGAGTTATAAAGGGGATAATGGTAAAGAACAGGGAAACTGCTATGTAGGGTTTAGGGTTTTAGGGTTTTAGGGTTTTAGGGTTTGGGCTTTAAGGTTTAGGGGGTTTTGAGTTTAGGGGCTTCGGGTTGAGGGGCCGCGGCTTAGGGTCCAGGGATTTAGGGTCTAGTGATTTAGGGTACAGGTTTTTTTGCGCTTTAGGTGGATTGTGCTTGGAATTGCAACTTCTGTGTTGCTCCAAGGACATTAAACGTTTGGGGATTCTGGAAATTCAGCATAGCATGATCATGTAGGGTCTCTATCATCAGCATATAATGGGCGCACCTTCCTAAAATGTGTTTTTGGGGGTAGAGCGCTCGTCGGAACTCTGTGGAACACGGGGTTTTCGGCGATTTGCGGGTTTCCCCCCCAAGGACTGTGTCGGGTGAAGCTTGAGAAATCCCCATATACGTCTTGCAGAGCCCCCCCAGAATGCAATTGATATAAACATGAACATTAGGCCTTTAAAAGAGATTCAAACACCCATATTCTTCTTAACCCTAAACCTTAAACCCTAAAGCCGAAACCGTAAACCCCTAAACCCTAACGCCTCAGCCCCTAAACTCCTAAACCTACTTCTGACATGAAATTATGCACTTGAAGGCTTTCCTGCAACCAGGAAAAGCGGACCCCGCCCCTAGACTTGATTTCAGAAACCCTGAACACTGAACACCCAGCCCTATAGTCCCCTTTCAGTAGATAGAATATGGTTTTGGGTATATTATAAGAAGATCCCCATATGCCCCATACTCTACTTAATTAAGGGGGACTATAGACTACAAACCATCCACCCTCGAACCAGAGACCCTCCCCTGTGCCCTAAGCCT